CAAAGCCGGGTATGTATCCTTTTATTTTGCCGTTTCTGGCCTAAATCCGAGAGTCAAGTCCTGCCGTTAACCGTTCCTCGGGCTGCAGCCTGGAGCAACCCTGAGCCACCAGTTTCAGTTGCACGCGTGCCCTGGGCTGGCTGTCGCAGACACCAAGCGGAACATTTTCAGCCCTTTAGGCGGGCGGGAGGTACGAAGCCTCACGGAACTGGTCTGGACAATTAAAATGTGGCTTTCAGATCCCACAGGAGGTCTGCTCCCGCGCACCTCTGGCACCCCGCGGGACGACCAGCCCCGCGCCTCGCTGCCCGGGTACCGGTGCCGAAAGCGTTGCAAGGCGCAGGGCTTTGGGGCTTGTTTCAGTCTTCGAGGCCGCATGGTGCTTGGCTGGCTGAGCACGACAGCTCTGCCCCGTCATCCCTGGGGCTGCGGCACAGGGCTGGGTGCTGCGTGGGTGTTTGGACTTTACGCGCTGCGCACTTAGAAATACAAACCTAGCACAGAGGAGGTATTGTGAGATGGCCAGCTGGCTGTGCCTGCTTGTTCCTGGAGGCTTGTTTCAGTCTTCGAGGCCGCATGGTGCTTGGCTGGCTGAGCACGACAGCTCTGCCCCGTCATCCCTGGGGCTGCGGCACAGGGCTGGGTGCTGCGTGGGTGTTTGGACTTTACGCGCTGCGCACTTAGAAATACAAACCTAGCACAGAGGAGGTATTGTGAGATGGCCAGCTGGCTGTGCCTGCTTGTTCCTGGAGCCCCACCATGAACCTTCCCTTCGTCAGAGTCACCACGTGCACAATATTCGCTCTGTGCAAGCAGCTCTATGGCCAGCGGGTAAAGGGGAGGCAGGAGAAAAGCGCCTTAGAAGAGGTCCAAAAGCAAGCCACATCCTAAGCTCCTGGAAAATTGTGGTAAGCTCCTTCCACAGAAATGTGCCTAGGGTGCAATCAACTTTCTTTAGCAATGTGAGGTCAAATGCTGTGTGGTAAATGGAATATATAATTTTTGCTAGACAGGCTTCTAAGGCTCAGGGTCTGGCTCATCGGGTGCAAAGTTTTGGTTCGTGAGTCTATCATTGCTTTGCATTTTCTGTGATAAAATTTTCGTAACGTTTATCCCAGGTGAGATTTCAGTGCAGAGCCAGCTTAATACTGCGGGTAAAGCCGTAGTCAGTGTTTGTGGAAGCAGGGGAGGGTGGGTCATTGCTGTGGCCCCGCGGTCATGCATGGGAAATCAGTGATGGCTCTGGAGACATTTGTTCCCATGGGAAGCTGGAGATGAACTTCATTGTTCATGGAAAGTCTTTTGGTCAGAACTGAACGGTTTAGTGGGAAAGTATCAATTTACAGAAAACTTCTCAGGTCTGCAATGGAGTCCCTGAGAAAAAATGAATCAGTCAAGTAAACGCCCCATCCCAGAACGTGCAGCAGCAGCACCAGGGCTTGGAGATGTGCTGGGAAGACGACGGCTGTGCGCTGTCACTCCAGGGACCTCCCGTGTCCCGGCGGGGTCTGTCTGCTCACCCAGCCGCTCCCCTGCGAGGGGTTATGGCGCTTCAGGAATGCAGGAGACCTTGGCTGCAAATAATACGTATGTATGCAACACAGAAGAGCTCCAACAGTTGGGAAATGCATCCTAGGTATTCATTATGGATGTGGAAAAATGGCAGATCACTGGTGATGGTAGGGGACTCTGAAATGCCAGAGAGGAATCACAGCCATTGGGCTTGGGACTTCTTTTGGAAGGTCTTTTCAGATGAGCTTTTCCTTAGAACTGAGACATTTTTGCAGAAGTCTCCCTGCCCAGCTCTGGCCCTGGGTTTCAGACCTGGCCAGCTGGGCGAGCAGACGAAGCTGGGGCAGGCAGAGCAGCTCTGCAGCCACCACGTCCCACGCCGCAGCCTCTCCCAAGCCGTGCTCAGCTCCTGCAAAGTAATTAACGCTAATTCTCATTCAGATCAGCCCAGACCTTTCCTGTATGATAGGAGCAGAAAGGTTTTGGAAAATCTGCCTTACTCCTCTTGGTAAAAAGTATAAGCAGCTCAACAGGAGAAACATAAATATTTTTGAGGAATCGGGGCTTTGGGCTTAAACTTCTCACCTGGCGACCCAATTCGTACACTTTTTATGAGCTCACGAATCTCTTCTCCTGCAGGAAACTTCCATGACTTTGCACAACTCTCTTTTACTCCCTGCATCATATTTCTTACAATGACGCTAAGATTTCCAAGATGCACCTACTTACATTCTATGTTTTCAAACAAAATTGCAACTGAGCTGTCCCGTATTCTCCATGCCCCGCTGAGAAATGCCGTGATTTCCCTCACATTCCCAGGCCAGGCTCAAGGTATCTGTTCTGTTTTCAAACCTAAGGCTCTTTTGGGAAGGCCCCATCAGTGCGTGTTGCACCAGCAACGTTTGCAAGCCCAGCTCTAGAGACATCAGCTGTTTATTAAGACGGTGGAAGCTTTACGAGATGAACTTGGTTCTGTTTGTCTTCCCTGTGTTTCAGAAAGACGACCCCGACGACTGCCCCATTGAGCTTAGCAAGGTGCAGAGCGTTAAAGTGGTGCCAAAGAAGCGCAGGGACCGCAGCCTGCCCCGGGCCTTTGAGATCTTCACCGACAACAAGACCTATGTTTTCAAGGCCAAAGACGAGAAGAACGCCGAGGAATGGCTTCAGTGCATCAACGTCGCTGTCGCGCAGGCTAGAGAGCGGGAGAGCCAAGAGGCCACCACCTACCTGTAGAGCTGCTGGCACCTCCGTGGCCGTGCCAGCAAGCCAAAGGTGTCTGGGACCGCTCTGGCACGGAGCATCCCACTGCCATCCTGTGGACCTCTTTTACCTCCGAAATAGGGCCATGGGAAACTGTGGACCGTGGTCCGTTGGCAGGGGCCAGGGAGAGCTTTGTGCAGCACGAGAGGTCTAAGGCATCAACGACCTACCAGGATGGAGTGCCACCATGCGGGAGCGCTCCCTGGCACCGGGACATCTGCTGATGCAGAAGCAGGTGCCACATCCACGTGTGAAATGCAGGTTTTCCATCAGCCTAACGGCCCGCCAGCCGGGAGACGCGGCTAGAAACAAACCTGGACCCCATCTTCTGGGATGCACAAGGTCTCGTTGGCTTTAGAGACCGCCGAGAGCATTTGAGCGCGTAGGGACTTTCTGCTTTCCTCGGTACCTTTCTGTCTGTAAAAAGATAATTTTCCTTCTTATTTAATCTCAGTGTACTTTATCCTTTTACTTTTTATATATGTCTGTGGAAAAAAATCAAATTTGCTGCTGCTTTCAGGTTTGAAATAGAGCAATTTTAAAGATTTAATACTGCTGAAAAATAATTTTAAATATTTAACTGTTTTTATTTTCTCTCTTTTTCCTGTTTTTTCTCCCCTTCATAACTGAATGTAATTTTAAAAATTTATTTTCCTTTCTTTTATTTAGTATTTGTGTTCTCTGTTCTGTAACTTTTTGAAATTTCTCCAAAACTGGCCAATTCTCAGTTTTTTTTATTTTCTTTGTCACTCTCAAATGATTCCAAAGTGGAGGAAGTACTGTAGCAAACACTGAAAGCAAAAAAGGAAAAGAGGGGAAAAAAAATTAATGAGAAGTCTTCAGGTGAAGACATTAACTTGGAGATCATTCAAGACTGAGGAGAAATAAAATTTGAAATTTTCCAACCTAGAAAAACGTATCTTTTGCAAAAAGTTACTGCCAAAA